TCCAGCTCAGATCACATACTAGTTTTGTTCACTGCCTGCCTCAGTTTCCTCATCTGCAAAGTGGGGACAATAATAGTGCCCCGCTCCCCAGATTCTTGTGAAGATCAAATGAGATCATATTTATAAAAGGTATTTAGCACAATACCTGGCACATAGTAGGTGTTACATTAATGATTATTCCCTTCTATTCTCCTCCTTCCCCTTTTCTAATACCCAGTTTCTTTTATGTTATCCTCCTGTGATATAGGCCTTTCACTGTGTTGGTTGCTATCCTGCTTATCGGCATCCTGCTTAAAGTGGGGTGCCCAGAGCTGAACCCGGTGCTCCAGTCACGCTGGATACAGTAACATTGCTTCTTTCTTGTTCCTGGGAGCCAGGTTGCATTGGCTTTATGTGGCTATCTCATCATGCTTCTGACTCAGTCTCCTGATTTACTAAAGCCCCAGATTTTTTCAGAGAAACTTTTGTCTCACCGTGAGTGCCTTTGCTCGTCTCACCTGTGTTACTTGGATATTTTTAATCCCATATGTAAGACTTTCCATTTATCCCTAGTGAATTTCATCTTTGATTCCATTCTCTACTTTCCTCTGTCAGTGAGTTTTGGGATCCTGGCTGTGTTAGCCAGCCTTAGCTCTCCTTCCCAACAGGGTACCATGTGCACATTGGATAAACACGTCCCATCTCTTCCTTTATCCAGGTCATCCACAGAAAGCAAAATTTGTGGATGTCCTTTGCTGCCAGGGTTGTTTAAGCCTTCACAAATGGAGAATGCCCTCTTTGGAAGGACTCATGCATTTCATTTATTCAATGCATCCAATCCTTACAAGTTAGCATTGTTACCTCTTCATATGCAGGAGGAGTCTTAAATGAAGTAGGGGTGAGATACACACATACATACACATACCATAACAAATATATATATATATATATATATGTATGTGTATACACACACACACACACACACATACATATGTACACATAATTTTATAAATAATATAATGAACATATAATATATAGCATTGTATATCGTGTGTATGTATGTGTGTAAATACATATTACTTTGTAAACCTTAAAATACAGGAAATTACAAGCATCTGGAGGGCAGACACTGTCTTACTTTTGTATTTGTTTCATCAGTACCTAACATAGGGTCTGGATACAGAGTAGGTATTTAGTAAATACTTATTAAGTTGCTTAAATATGAATTATTATTATCGATAATAGAAAGAGACTTATGAAGTGGTTGATGTGTTGAAATGCTAAAAGAATATGAAGGCGAATGAATATGCTTATTAGGTGGTCTGAAGCTATATCCCGTGAAGCCCCAGAAAGATAGATGTACTTACATTCCCTTTGGAAACTTAGATTAGCTAGTTCTGTTGATAATGAATACTTTTCAGCAATATCATATACTGCCTCCATGCCCAGTATCACTGGACACGAAGCCCTGTGGTTTTGCATGAATCCAATTCAAAGGGGGAGGGTAGTGTTTCCAACTACCTATGGAATTGTCTAGAAAAGACTCCCTGCTTCTATGTTTTCCTTGGAGAGGCCACACAATTGATCACAGATTTAGAACTGGAATACTGTGGTGATAGGAGAAATGATGAATGGGATGATTTCAGAGAAACAGGAAAACTTATATGACTTGATATGGAGGGAAGTGAGCAGAACCAGAACTTTTCTTACAATAACAAAAATACATGAAAGGAACAATGTTGAAAGCGGTAAGCAGTCTGATCGATGCAATGGCCAACTCTAGTTCCAGACTGGTGATGAGTGCCTGGTAATACTCAATGCTTAATAAATGTTTATTGATTGATCGATCGATGAAACTTGCCACTCTTCTCCTGATGGAGAGGTGATGGATTCAGGATGTAGATTGAGACATGTATATTTTTGGATGTGGCCAATACTCCAGGAATTCGTTTTGGTCAACTATGTGTGTTTGTTAGAAGGAAGGTATTTTTCTTTTCCTTTTTCCCCTTCCAGTTGTTGGAAGATGAGAAGGAGGGAAAAATGAAATTGAAAAAACATTAAAAGAAGATGGGGAAACCAAAGCCTGTAGACTTTTGATGATTTGCCCAACATCAAATAGGGAGCCAGTAATGTGGGGAGGATTTGTACCTAGCCTCTTTGGCTTTCCAGCTAATCCTCTGAGCTTGGGAACAGTATGCAGTTTGGTGGGATAGATGGTAAGAACAGAAGAAAGAAAAGAAAGAAGAGTGCCTGGCCCAATTCAGAGTCATAGGATATACAGCAAGAGGCGACTTTAGAGATATGGGCTCTTCAGTGAACAGATTGGGAAAATGAGACCTCCACAGGGGAAGTGAAGTGACTTGCCAATGAGAGAGACTACCTTTTGGCTTTCTTTGTATCCCCAGAAATTAGCACAGTGCCTGGCATACAGTAGGTGCTTAATAAATGCTTGTTGACTTGACTTTCTCAAGGTCACACAGATCATTATAGTTGAATGATGGATGATCTGACCCCATATCATTCAGCCGCCAGCAGAGGGGAGCACTGCTTAGGGAATTTGATGCTCTGGTCTCTTCTGTGATGCTGTCACTTCCCCCCCCCCCCGGAGAAATACATTAAGAAAGGTGGAATCATTGAGCAGTGTCCATATTGGAGGAGCTGGTGGTGGGAGCACAGAAGGGAGATTCAGGTCAGGCGAGAGACTGGGTGCAGTGTTTGGCCTTGCTTTGGCACTGGGGTACTGACACAGAAATTGCCTAGAGTAGCAGAGTTCTTTCTCTTTGCGCCACAATGTCTGTCTCGTAGAAAGATGGACTATGCTAGGCTAGTGTTATTTCTTCTGCTGGACCCCCTGCCGTCAGCAAGATTTCCCTCCAGCCTGTGTGTCCAGGTGATGGATTGGCCTGTGCTACTCTGATACCATCTCCCCCATGTCTTGTGGTCCATCAGTGAACAAAGTGAGCTGGCTGGCAGGCATTAGCGGGTGAACTACCGTTCCTGATGCATTTCTCTGAGTGTTCTAGCCTCTTTCGTTTTGATGGACTGTGGTATTAGAGGGCCCTTAGGCCAGTTGACATCCTCAATATTTATGGAGTAGCTGGAGGTTGGATTTCTCTGGACTGGGCAGGGAGGAACGAAGGCCAAAATATATATATAAGAAAAGTGGAAGACCAGAAAAGGGATGAAATTTGGGACCCCTAGGGGAGTGGTGGTGGCAAAAACCAAGTCAACAAGCATTTATTAAGCACTTGCTGTGTGCCAGGCTCTGTGCTCAGTGCTAAGGATACAAAGAAAGGCAGAAATCCAGTCCCTGCCCTCAAGGGGGGAGGTACCACGCAAACAACTATGTACGCACAAAAGACAGACAGGATGAATTGGGGGAGATCTTGGAGGGAAGGCATTCGCATTCAAGGGGATTCATCAAGGCTTCTTGTCCTTAAGATGTGCAGATTGTTTTACATGTGCTGTCTCATTTGGTCTCCCAACCCTGGGAGGTAGGTGCTATTATTATCCCCATTTTACAGTTGAGGAAATTGAGGCAGATAGAAGGTAAGTGCTTTGTCTACCGTCACCAGCTAGTAAGTGTCTGAGGCTGAATTTGAACTCAGATTTGCTAGTGTTCTATCCACTGTGCTCCCAGAATTCATGAGCCACTGACTTTTTTGAGAAGAATAGTGATGCTAGTAGATGTGATCCTGAGACAGATTATCTGGCCACTTTTGGAGAGGCAAGAGTAGAGCATAGAGCCCTGGACTTAGAGTCTGGAAGATCTGGGCTCAGACTCTGAGTCAGATACAATTCCAGGAAAGTCATTCTTTGTGTTTCAGCGTCCCCATCTATAAAATGAGAGATTTGGGCTTATGGTCTCTAAGGTTCCTTCCAGCTCTAAAGGCAGAGAGTCTAGGTCATGACAAGTGGCAAAGGTCAGGTCTGGCTGGTTGTCAGGACAGTAGCAAGAGATGGGGGGAATAGAGGCAATCCTTCTTGGCATGTGATTGTGTCACAGAGAAAGGGAAGATTTTCGGAGAAGCAGCTGGTGCTGACTAAATGGGACGTCCAGTTTCTGTTTGGATTGTTTGAGCACAAGTGTAGTGGGATGTGAGTGGGCCCTACATGGTCTGGGCATTAACCTCTGCAGACTCCCAATGGCTGCGTAGATGACAGGGCTTGGGGACAACTTGGGACATAGAACAAATGAAGAGGGAGGGAGGTGGAGACAGATAAGGAAAAGAGCCAAATAATGAGTGAAATTTTGTGTCCTGAAGAGAATGGCAGCGGTTATATGATTAAAGTAGCTGAAGTTTATCCTTCAAACATCTACATCATGGTAGGACTGGTACTTTCTGGTGGAAGGGCTGCAAGTTATCAGAGAGACTTCTTCTGGCTTGAGGCGGCCAGTTTGCTGGACTCCACACTGTTTCAAATATGTTGGTTCTTCTGTAAGATCATGAAATATGACAAATATTGTTTATCTTTAATTCTGGTGCTGCAATTTCATCATTGGGAACTTCCCATGGGGAAATTCACTCAATCAGTGCAGATCAGCATCTGCTCCATTGGGAGCTTACTGTCTTAGTGGGTTGCTGGAAAGTGCCCAGGATGACAACCAGTGTGTGTCAGAAGAGGGACTTGAATCCAAAGCTGGCTCGCCAACCACTGGGTGACACTGCCTGTCCTAAAAAAAAAAACATTGCTGCATTTGAATTCACAGTGATGTAAAAAGCTTGTCTTTTGAGACTAGATAGGACAAGCAGAGTTTTGTCTGGTAGAACCTGCGACATTCACACCCAGCAGAATTTTCAGATTGATCCTCAAGCTCCCCAAAGTCCCCCATGTCTGATGCTCTTGAAGAATGGGTGTAAGGGTCTGAGGGTAGTGTACATTTTGATGAACAGATTATTTTTTCTAATTAGTCCTTTCATCTTTGGGCATTGGGCTGCAACCTTTTATATTTGGGCATGTGTATTTATAGATGTTTCATGGGGTGAGCCCTAAGTGTTTTTATGATTGGTTTCCCACAGCTGCTGCCGATCCACACTCTGAGGCTGGGAGTGGAGCTGGACTCCTTTAATGGGCACCACTACATTTCTTCCATCATGCCTGATGGGCCAGTGGCCCCACTCAACCTGCTGAAGCTGGAGGATGAGCTGCTGGAGGTGAGCTCAGGAGGAGAAAAAGCAACCCAAAGACATGGCTTAGACTGGACAGCCGCTGAGGTCCCACAGTTCTCTGATTCTGTAACTGAGCTCTTCACGTTGCACATCAGCCCTGTCTCCCCTGCACCTGGAGATTGTTTTTTCTTGGAATTTAGTATGAACCGTTGCAAGTGAAATGTGACCCATTTATTGAGCCAGTCAAAGGAGCTGCCATCTTGGTGATGTGGGTGCAGCCCATCTTGTCTGGTACAAGGGTCTTGTCCACATTCTCAAACAAATCCTTTCTGGAGACTCTACCCAGCATTCTAGAGGCCTATCTCTATCTTCCTGTCCCTTTTCTCTCTGTCTTTCCCCTTTCCATCTCTCTTTATCTCTGTGTCTCTTCATCTCCCTTTCTCTCTTCTCCCTTCCTCTCTCTTCTCTCTCTCCCCTTTTCCATTTTCCTTTCTCTGTCTCGCCCTCTTTCCTTCCCACCCCTACACCTTCTGTGTCACTCCCCTTCTCCATCTTCCCTCCCCGCATATACACATGGATGAAATAGATACAAATAGAGACCACTTGGTCTTCCCATATGACTTGCAGCCAAATCCTCCGATGTCTGTTATCTCCCTTTACTTAGAATGTGAACTCCGTGAGAGTTGCAACTGTCTTGGTATCCTTCCATATTTAAAGGATAGCTTTAGCTACGGATAGAGTTAATCGTAAACATGTAGTTAAATATAGTTAATGAAAGCTGTCCAGGACATCAATTGAGACTGATGTAATAGTTGTAGGTCTTTTAATGGCCTACTACTTAAATTAATTGTAGTTTTCGTTATGAATTTAAGAGCCAGATAGAAGGGAAATTTGCATCTACTCAGCAGAACAGAAAAGCCAGATTTTTTTTTTTTTGGTCTAGGCAATGGGGTTAAGTGACTTGCCCAGGGTCACATAGCAAGTGTTATGTGTCTGAGGCTGGATTTGAACTCAGGTCCTCCTGAATCCAGGACTGGTGCTCTATCCACTGCATCATGTAGCTGCCCCAGAAAAGCCAGATTTTTCATGAAACATCCGGACTCTCCGTGCTCATCCTGGAGCTTTCAAGGCTGTCCCACTTGTCTGGCCTCCCTTCCGTTCCTTTCTAATCATTTTTCAAAATGATTGCTCAATGACTCTCCTTTCTTTTCTTTTTCTTTCTTTTGCTACTCTCTCTTTTATTTCCCACTCTGCTCCCCTTCCCCACATTGGAAAAGAAATGGCACCATTGTGTCTTTGACCTCTTTGGTGCATATGCCCAGAAGTGGTATCTCTGGTCAGAGGGTTCAGTTGACAGTGATAGTTTAGTCAATGTCTTGGCATAATTGCAAGTTGCTTTCCAGGATGGTTGGACCACTCTCTTCCTAAACCCTTTATAGTCTGGCTTTCACCCTCATCAATGAACTGAAACTTCTCTCTCCAAAGTTGCCAGTGGTTTGCTAATTGCCCAACCCCGTGGCCTTTTCTCAGTCCTCATCCTCCTTAACTGCTCTGCTGCCTTAGATAACGTTGGTCACCTTCCTCTTCTGGATATTCTCTCCTCTGGAGAATTCCTCATTGTACCGCTGAGGTCCAGGGGCGTTCAGTGACTTATCCAGTGGCACACAGAGAGTAAGCGTCACCAGCTCCTCTGCCTCCAGAGCCATTGTTCTTGGCATTTTTTCTCCCTTTGCTAGTCTTTCCTTGCCTTCTGCCTCAGTTTGCCCTTTTGTTGCTTTTTCTTCCATATTCTCTCTCCATAATTGTTCTTGAACTCCCTAACCACAAATTCACCTCCAGAGAACCACCGATGGGGCCGTTTGGAAATCCCCCACTCTGGTCGCCATTTTGTTAAGGAGTTGGTGGGATCACCGGCCCCTTGATCTGGAGCTGGAAGAACCTCAGTGAATATCTAGTCCGATCCCTCTCATTTTACAGATGAAGTGCAGGAGGTTCATTGGCTTGCCCCTGGTCATCAGAGGGAGGATTTGAAGCCAGGGCCTCTGGCTCTACTGTTTTTTCTGCTCTACACCCGTTGATTGTTCTTTGCCCATGGGAGACCCAAGTTGAGTGGCAGCCTCCCTTCTTCCTTCCTTCTGCTTTTGATTCTTCTTATGCTTGGGGGACAAGGACAGTTGGAGCTCCCGGATGGTTTCTGGTTTCCTAAGCGCTCTTGCTCCATATTCTCCTGAAGATGGTAACAAGTAGGAAGTGATTCTATGGTACACTGCCCTGATGCCATCTTCCAGAGGTGCCAGTGTTCTTGCAGCATGAGCCTCCAAAGTAGAGGGCAGGCAGGGTTGGCCAGTGCCCCACTTCCTTTGTTATTCCGTCTCCAAAGCAGCTTATGGAGAGACCCAGGCTGGTAGCCCAGGGCTAGACGTTGGAAGCAGTGAGCTGCCCTGATGGTGGCCTCGGCCCTGGAGGGACTCATAAGCCAAGACCTCCCAGATAATCAGTCCCTGGATAACTGAGGTTTGACAGGGCTTGGGACAACATTATAATCTCAAAGGGAAGCCTTTGTGGAATATTAAACATTTTACAATAAAAATTGGCTGCTTGAGAACAACTTAATAAGCAGCTCATGTTAGACGAATGTAATTATATATATATATATTGTCAGTCTTTTAACCCTTTTATTTAGGACCAAAAGTGTGCCCAAAAATTGCTGAACTGAAAAAAAAATTTTTTTATTTGCTTCTTAGAGCCCAGAATGTGAAGCAGGCGTATGCTTTGAGTTTCAAACACTGGGCCAAGCTGCAGACCCAGGAAGCTATTTACAGCAGTTATATAAATCCCCCAGGAAGGAAATTTCTAGTTAGGATTATGACTGCCCCCTTAACTCCACCAAGTAAGGAAGACTCCCAGGCAATGCCGTAATAATTGGAGACAAGTTAAATGAATAAGTAATGAGATAAATAAATATTTAAATGTACACTAAGATAAAAATCTAAAACGTGATGGTATAATTTGTTACAGCAAAATACTGCCCGTGAAATACTGCAGCTCAGCAAATAGTTACTCCTGGGTGCTCAGCATGGGGATATACTTTGGTGAACAATGACCCAGAACCTGACTGCAAAGGGCTTATAATTGAATTCAGGGAGAAATAGCAGGCATAATACTCTGCCCGTGTAAGACCATTTCTCGGGGATTGTATTCCTTAGGAAGGATGACAGTTAGCTGGAGAGCGTGTAGAGGAGGGGGGCTACCATGAGGCTTGTGTTGGGTCTGTGTTCACTGAGGATTATCTGAGGATTTTGAGGCTGGAGAAGGGAAGGCTCTGGATGGGAACGAAACAGCTTTCTTTTGCACCTTTGATGGACGGTTACGAGGAAGAGGTGTCAGCTTGGTTTTCTTTGGCCCCAGAGAATGGGGAGGCATTGTTGCACGGGTGTGGAGAAGCAAAGAGGCTTGATGTCAGGAAAACCCTCCTGAACAGGAGCTAGCGAGGAGGAGTGGCAGAGCAGACTCAGGACCTGGGTTCGACTCTGCTTTTGGCACATCCTGGCTGTGTGACCTTGGGCAAGTCACTTAAATCCTCAGTGCTCCCAAACGAGTCTCTTAGACTGTAAATTGCTGAACAAATGCTGCTGACCAGCATTGGGAGAGTGAGTTTCTTTATCCAGGAATTAGCCAATTAGCATTTCACTTCCAGGCTCTAAGCTAAATCCTGGGGATACAAAGAAAGGCAAGAAAGAGTGCCTGCTCTTGAAAGCTCAGTCTAACGGGGGAGACGATAAGCACACAGAAAAGTATGGTCCAGATATATCCAGGATAAATAAGCAGTAATTAACAGAGGGAAAGCCCTGGCCTTAAGGAAAAGGCCTTCTTTAGAAGGAGGGATTGCAGCTGGGAAGCCAGGAGGCTGAGATGAGGAAGGGGGCCATTCCAGGCATGGAAGAGAGCAGAGAAAATGCGAGAGCCTCGCAGTCAGTGAATAAACATGTGTCAGCTGTCTGCTCTGTGCCTGGCACTTTGCTGAGCCCTATAGATGCAAAGAAAGGTTTAAAAAAGCCCACCTCCCCTGCCCCAAGGGATTCACCTTCTAACTGGGGAGAAAACCTGCAAATATGTAGAAACAAGATCAATACAGGAAAAAGTGGAGAAAATCCACAGAGGGAAGGGGCTACCATTCTGGGGAGGTCCCTTTGTCTCTGAAATCCTAGGTAAAGCCCCTCTCCTCATTCCTACCAGGAACTTCCCGCGAGTGGATGGGGCCGCCCCAAGTGGCAGCTCACTCTCTGGGCAGGTCTGCAGAAGAATCTGAGTGTTCACTTGCCGGGGATCTTACTGTGAGGATTTCTGTTTGGGGAGCAGTTGGACTAATAATGGTAATACCAGGTACCATTTATCTGGTGCTGTCAGGTTTGTAAGGTGCTGTATATATGCTGTCTCTCATTTAGTTCTCACAACAGCCCTATGAGGTAGGTGCTGTGATGATCCTTGCTTTATTGATGAGGACACCGAGTCTGGGAGAAGCTGTGCTCCATCAGGGGTCACACAGTGTCTGAGGGAGGACTTAAACTCGGGTCTTGCTGACTCCAGGTCCAGTGCTGTGTCCTCTGGGCCAGATCCCGGCTTTTTAGGCATCAAAAGCTTTCCGTGAGCTCCCCAATCTCTACTTCGCCTCCTCGTTGTGTTTGTCAGGAGCCTCGGGACATGGTCTGGTTCTCCTGCCACGGTTAGATTTCTCAAGTGTGCCAGTGAGTGTGTGAGTGTGTAGTAGACGATGATACCTTTGTAAATAATTAAGGGCTGGGGGAAGTGCGTCTGGCTCAGGGGCTAAGTTCCCGAGCAATGATAGGCCCTTGAGAGAGCCTTCTAGAGACTATTGATCCATCCCCAGGCCTGCTGCAGGCATTAGAGCTGATCTCCTGTTTGCTACATAAATCCTTGGTCTCCTAGGAAAGGCACTTAACCATAAACACGGGCAGTTGTAGACATTAGCATGGCAATGAAATTATGCAACCCCTCAGAAGAAAACTTCCCTGACCATCAGCAGGGGCTTTTGAATGGAGAGGAGGTGGAAGATGGCAAATATTCTCATTGTGATCTGGGGTTTATTTTGGCATTCAAGGCCCAATAATATTTTCCTTTGCCTAGGCTATCTCCTGAACAGTCTGGGGTCATTGGAATGGCCTTGGGTTCCAAGACTGACTTGGATGTTCTTTATTGGGGTCATCTCCAGCAGACCTGTTCCCTTATCTGTGGGCTCCTGCAGCACCCCCACCTGTAATCCTAGATCAGGGGTTTTGGGGACAGTGCAAGCATTTATGTAGTGCCTCCTATGTGCCAGGCACTGAATGAGGAGATTACATTATCTTATCTGATTCCCACCAAAACCAGTAAGGGAGGTGCTGTTGTTAACCCCCATTTAACAGCTGAGGAAACACAGGGAAGATGTGAAGTGAATTACCCTGGGTTTACACAGCTGATAAGTGTCTGAGGTGGGATTTGAACTCAGGACTTCCTGACTCCAGGCCAAGTACTCTTTGCCCCATGCCACCACCAGCCTCAGGCTCTTAATCTGTGACCTTTAAAAAACAGACATTTTAATAGCTCTATTTTGATGTAATTTATATCTTTGCAATCCTGTGTACTTATTTGGTGGATTTAAACACGTGATTCTAAGAAGGGACTCACAGGTTTCAACCAGCTGCTCAAGGGATCCATAATGCAAAGAAGCTTGAGCTCCCTGGTTCTAGAGGGTTCTGGAGGTTCCTGTGGCCTCTTCCAGCTCTAAGATTTGGGGCTTAGTCTACTCTTGTTTCAGAAGCTTTGGTTAACAAGGTGTGTGACACTTGGTCCTTGTCCCTTCCCCCTCGGTTTTCTAACACCTTCTTCATTCCATGTTGTCCTGCCTCTCGATTCTCTTGGACCTCCACTGATTTCTCTTCTATTTAACTTTTAACTTGCTTTTCAATGAATTGGACTATTGAATACCGAGAGGCTTCTTGGTGTGGTGAATAGATTCCTGGCTTTCAAATCAGGAAGACCTGAGTTCAAATCCTTACTCAGATACTAGCTATGTGTCCCTGGGCAAGTCACTTAACCTTCTTTTCCTCAGTTTCTTCATTTGTAAAATGAAGATAATGATAGCACCTACCTCCTAGGGGAGTCATGAGTATAAAGTGCTTTGTAAATCTTAGAGCTCTATTTAAATATTAGCCATTATTATCTAATAATATTGCTGATTAAATTGGCAGATGGGCTAAACCACGTTGAGAATAACTGATGGGCTACAAACCTGACAGTGAATTAGGGCTATCTCCCCTAAGCATGTGAAGACTTTCCCTAGGGGAATGGGTGGATGAAAACCATTTGTTCCAGTGGCCATGAAGGCAACTGAAAGCAGGTGCTGTGGAGTGCTTTGAGCTTGGTCAGAGGTCGGGGATGCCAAGGTCATCACTGCATCCCAGGCCATCACCAGTCATCTTGATTTTTGTCCTGCCATTGGACTTTGATGACTCAGGAAGTCAGAATGAGGCTGATGACTTTGTTGCAGCTCTGCCCTACTTAAATCTGGTTCATGCAGGAGTCAAGATGTCACCCTGTCATGCTACTGATACTCTGATGACAAAGGACAAGACAACAAAAAAACCAACAATAACTCATTACTTTGTTGTAATTATTGCCTACAATTTGCTTTTTTTCACTCTTCATCAGTTGATATGAATCTTTCCATATTTTCTCTGAACCTATCATACACATCATATCTTACTGTATAATAATATTCCATTGCATTCGTGCCACATAGATTTTTCAGGCATGCATTCCCCAATTGATGGGTATGCTTTTGTTTTGTGGGGTTTTTTTGTTCCTCCAGTTATGTCTTTTGAAACTCACAGGTGTTTAGAAAGTGCCTTTCTCTGTTATGAGGTGTCCTAAAAGCTGTAGGTCAGTTTAAATGTACAAAAACTTTTGCAGCTTTGAGCCACTGTAAGCGTTTTGCGATACCCTATATGCATGTGGAGCATTATTCCAGAATGGTACAAATAAAATCATTACCCTCAGATCTAAAGATAAATTAGAAGCTATATCAGGAGCACCTTGTTTTCTTCCTAAAATCTCAATGCTCTCAGAAACTATTCCTTTGAAAAGCAGCCTTTTATAAACTTCCATAAACCTTATGTCTTTCTCCTGTGATCAAATTACAGACTGAAAAATTAAGAAAAGATGGCCTTTTTTGTTTTTTTTTTTAAGGAATAAGAGTTGCTGTAAATCCATTTGAAGAGGCTGCTAGAACAGGAAGACCATCTGGGGCTATTGAATGCATTAGTGGATGCCTTGGGGTCTTGCCTTATCATTCAATAGCTAAAACTTAATGGATAAAAAGATTTTGCTTAGCAGGACTTTTCCCCTCTGAATTGCTAATTGTACTCTTGTACGTCTCTTTTATATAAATGAATTTTAGAATTCTTCCCAATGCACATTTCTCATGTCTCTTAAACTTTCAATACAATGTATCCCAAACTCTTTAATGGACTGGAATGCTTATTTCTGGCTTCTTTCTGTTATGACAAATCCAGAAGCGTTTGTTTTTTTTAACCTTGGTCCATTCTATTTTGACTTAGATTTTAAAAATAAGCCTTTTGGTTTGTATGATGGTCATTTCTCTGAGTGAGGGGAGATATCTCCTCATTTCTAGTTATAACCCTCCTTTTGGCACAGAAAAATAATTAAATAAAAGCATCTGCATCTGACAATGTATGCAACATTCTGCCCTGGTGTAGCTCCACCTCTCTGTTCTTGATAAACTTTGAACTTCATTCCCAATGGATCTAAGTGCCAGCTTTTGACAGCTGTTGAAGCAGAAAAGGCAGAAACAGAAAAGAATTGAAGACCACATGTTATATTCCCCACTTCTGCAACCCCAAAGCACTTGTCCAGAAAACAATCCTCCTGGGTATTTTTAAAGGCATGGCAGACTTGGAAGTAAGATGTTACTTGTATTCTTTATTAATTTCTGAAAACCTTCTTTGGGTGTCCTTCTTTGAAAGTGTGAGCACTTTTAAAAAACTAGAATTTTATTGACTACCGTATGTCTATTTATGTATCTATCTGTAACTTTAAGGTTTGCAAAGCACTTTAGACACATTGTCTCATTTTATCTTTGTAAGAAGCCTGGAAAGTTGGCACTCTTGTTGTCCTCATTTGAGAAGTGAGGAAATTGAGGCAGACAGTGGTTAAATGATGTGCCTAGGGCCGTACAGCTAGTGGTGCTCAGATCTTTGACTTCAGGTCCAATGCATTTGCTCTCTCTTTTTCTCTTCATATATTTGTGTTCTCGTTCTCTCTCTCTCTCTCTCTCTCTCTCTCTCTCTCTCTCTCTCTCTCTCTCTCTCTCTCTCTCTCCCCCCCTCCCTCTCCCTCTCCCTCTCCTTCTCCCTCTCCCTCTCCCTCTCCCTCTCTCTCACCTAGTTGTAAATGTCTCCTAATGTTACTACTTCAATTCCTTATGAAATAAAAACATGGAGGGGAAGATTCAATGGTGCCTATGATTAGTGATGTTTCTTCTGTGTGATGGGCAAAGAAGCATGTGCCAAACTTGGCATCACTAGAGGTGGAATCAAATTTTGGTTCCGGGACTTGGTACTTTTATGACTAGGTTCATGACTTCTCCTTCAGTGGCTTCACCTGTGAGATTCCTTCAAGGTTTTGATCTCCCCTCTACATCAGGATCTCCATTGATTGCCCCTGTGAGTTTCTATGATGATACGTCATCATTGATGCAATAGAGATGACCCCTTTTATACATTCTGGGCCTGCAAACAGGAGAAGAAATTGTGGGAAAAATCACTGGCATAACGTTAGACTCATCTTGGGGTTACCTGCTGTGATCTGTTATATGGTTTGTGGCTCTAGGTATCTACCCTCCCAAACTTAGAAATCACCTGTATTTTTTGTGTCCTATTTATAATTGTAAAATGAATCATAGATACAAGGATAATGTGGCAGAATTTCTTCAGTATTGTAAAATCTCAGATTTGGAAGGAACTTTAGAGCCCTGCTGGCTGACAAATACATTATTCGGTTTAATCTTATTAGATCTGGCCTTGGGTTCTAGACTTTTGAGATCTCTTGAATTCCTCACTATGAGATTGTCAACAGGCACGTAGACATGTGAACAACTGAGTGGAATTGGGGAGCCTGCCGTGGGGGAGCCTGCCATCAATTGTCTAATGATAATTGCACCATTCACACATTCTGGGCAGCTAGTGCATAGCTTTCAATGAGGGGATTAGCCTTGATTTATGTTAACTTTAGGGGCTTGTTAACAGAAGCAGTCAAGCTTTAGGAAAAATCATTTGATTAAATTAGAGCTTTTGCTATTGGGGGAAGAAAATGATTTTCTGTTTTATTTGTGTGTTTTTGTGTAAATGAGGAATTTTTTTTTTAATGGCAGCATCTGCCCCTTTTGGTGTCTAACTTATATGTCTTCTCTATAGGTCAATGGTGTTCAGCTCTCTGGAAAATCCCGCAGAGAGGCAGTGTCTTTTCTCAAAGAAGTGCCACCCCCCTTCACTCTGGTCTGCTGCCGGCGGCTCTTTGATGATGAGGCCTTTGGGGATGAGGCGAGTGTCACCGATGTCGTCATCAATGAACCGAAGGTATTAATGAAATAGACCATAGCTAAGGTAGCCAGGCCCATAGTATCACTGAAACACCTTGTTCATAAAATTGCTACTTCTTATCTTGGTACAGTCCACTCTTTGTCCTGTAACTCCAAATTGACATCAAAGTAATAACTATGCACTTTTATCTCAGCAACAAATCAAATCAACAGGCATTTGTAAAGTGTTTATTATGTGCCAGGCATTGTGCTAAGCACTGGAGATATAAAGAAATCAACAAACATTTATTAAGCACTTGCTGTGTGCCAAGCATGACACTAACGCTAGAGATACAAAGAAGTCAACAAAAATTTATTAAACACCTACTGTGTGGCAGGCATGGTGCCAAGCACTAGGAATACAAAGAAGTCACCAAATATTAAGCACCTACTAGTGTCAGCCATTGTTCTAAACACTGGGATACAAAGAAAGGCAAAACCTTTTTTCCTGTTCTCATGGAACTCACATTCAAATAGTGCTATATAGAGGATAAATTGGAGATTCTTTCAAAGGGAAGGCATTCACATTAGTGGAGATAAGGAGACATTTCCTGCAGAAGGTTGCTTTTAGCATGTACTAGAAGGAAGTCAGAGCAGCCAGGAGGTGTAGACAAGGTAGGAAAACTCTGGCATGAGGCAGCTAATGAAAATGCCCAGAGATGGAGCGTCTTAAGCCAGGATCAGCATAGAGGTGAGGATCACTCCATTGTAAGGTACGTGGAGGTGAGTTAAGTGTTAAAAGAATGGGAAGTTAGGAGAGGAGCCAGTGCAGAGGACATTCTGTTTGATCCCAGAGGCAGCAGGCTCCTGCCCGAGTTGACTAAATGGAGTCTGG